ACCACGTCACCCCAGGAAGAGTTACGGCTTACAAGACCATATTTCTTGAGAGACTGTGCCTTCCCAGAGGAGAAAGCACAGAATTTTGTCACACAGAAACAAGAAGACATAAATCACAGCTGTAGGAAAACATCTTCAGATAATCAAATTAGAAGCAGGGGGACATAAGATGAAGAATTAGATAAAACCAAATTCTTGTCATTTATTTTAATCTTACTACCCTCTTCTGTAAAATGTAAATGGTTTAAAAAAACATATTTGAAACTCTAGGTTTATTAAGAAATGCTTCTGACACACAAAAGTCTCAGCAAGAGTTCCTGTTTCCCATAAAAGCAGAAGAGGGTCTGGCCAACACTCATCATGGAGAAGGTGCTGCTCCCGAGTGCTCGGGTGTTAGGCGGCCAGGTACATTGTCCTCCTGAACTCAGGAAGAATTCTTGGTGCTCCAAAGTGACAATGGAGTAGAGGATTGAAGAGGCCAAAACGGCAAATGCATCAGAGCTGAGCCTGCCAAGCACTCCAGCGGCTACACTGACCACAGCGAGCCCAGGGCAAAGCCTTAAAAACAAGGACCAAGACTTCCAGGAGGAGAGACGGGAACTGGGAAAGGCTGCAGGGCTATGTGTCATGTTATTGCAAAACCCTGGCTGCCCAGTGGAGTCTTTCCAACATCAACAGTCCCCAGGCCAGAAAACAAACCCGGCGTCACAGGGTCTGAGTGTGAAAAAAGGAAGTTTGGGGTGTAACAGAAACTGGGATAGCCTTTTTGCCTCTGAGAGGTAGCTGAGAAGAAGAGCTCTTACCCTCATGGCTTTGCAGGGTCCCCTGGAAGCTCCCCTACAGATTCAAGCTGAAGAGCACCTGAGCCCAGACAGAATCTTCCAGCAAACTGTAATGGAAACCATCCCAGGTGTTTGACCAAGAGGCTCCATCCTGACCAGAGCCAGCTGCTCAGACACGAGTTATCACTAAAGTATATCTGAAGTCTCCTTAAAACAAATGTGATAACACATGAAAAGTGGCTAGCAAAACGCATAAAGATACTCTGTCAAGAATAGCCACTGTTGGGTGGTGCCTGAGGCTTAGTGGGTAGGGTGCTGGCCCCATATACCAAAGTTCGAACCCGGCCCTGGTCAAACTGCAACAAAAAATAGCCGGGCGTCATGGCGGGTGCCTGTAGTCCCAGCTACTCGGGAGGCTGAGGCAAGAGAATCACCTAAGCCCAAGAGCTAGAGATTGCTGTGAGCTGTGACGCCATGGCACTCTACTAAGGGCGACAAAGTGAGACTCTGTCTCTAAAAAAAGGAAAAAAAAAGGAATAGCCACTGTTTTGCTGCTTTTTAAAATCATGTATTGGTGCATTGACTATGTGCCAGGTCCTATATAGAAGCTGTTGAGTCTTCACAAAGATCCTGCCAGGCACTGATAACTCAGCTTTACATATAAGGAATTCATGACTCAGGAATTAATTAACTTTCCCATGCCCAGCAAGCCTCTCAGTGTGGAGCCAGCACTGGAAGCCAGGTCTGCAGGTCTGTCTGACACTTAGGCCCATGCTTTTGCCATTACCTGGTTTATCTCCACTAAAAGGTCCCCTACCCTCTGCCTTATGAAAGCCAGGCAACCATTTGTGAGAGCATACTCCAGAGCAGGGTGCTAAAGTGTGAAAAGGTCCATATGAGATGCTGAAGAGTTTTGTGTGCTGCCTCAGGAGTCCCTGTACTGAGGCAGGCTTACCTGGATACATCAGGAATTGCCTTCTGCTTAGTCTACGAGACAGGCCACAAAACTGGACTAAGACAGCCCCATACACACACTCCCATCCAGTCACATATACCAGGGCCCAGAAAGCTTTTTCTGTAGAGGGTCAGATAGTAAATATTTTAGGCTTTGCAGGCCACGTAGGCTGTGTCAATCATACTACTGCAGGAAAAAAAAAAAAAAAAAACAGTCAATCCACAAATAAGCATCTCTGCCTGTTACTCAGTAAAACTTTATTTGCAAAAAACAGGCACAAAGTCACCTGGCAAACCCTCTTTTGAGGCCATATCTTCTAGATCTAATTACAACAAAAAGACTGACAGGCCCTCAGTCAATAATAATCATGTTGGAGAAAGTCCTAGTTTAGTAGGAGATTCCTAAGTCATCAATCCATAACAATTATTCATGGTCTCAGTTTCTCCTAGAGAACTGTTAAAGCTGCTCCAACAATCCTGTTCCATACACTATTCTTACAGACATAACTGGGGCCAACCAGGAAAAAATAAATGTGGCTGGGTTGCTCCAACAAAAGGTAGATAGTTGTACCCACCTGGAAATGATTTCCCAGCATGACCCTTTATCCAATTGGAAAATAGAAATGGAAAGGAGAACTACAGTGCAAGCAAAGATTATCAACTGACTTTGACATTACTACTTTACTATGCTCAGCGGGTACAGCCCAAGACAGGCACTCTATTCCCAAGGATAACTAGTTTTCTCCAGCTCAACTACTTGCTAGCTGTGACTCAGGACAAGTTAAGTTAGGCAAGTTAGGCTCTTTCTCAGGCTCCATCTCTGCTTCAGCAAGACTGGGACAATGATTATCTCATAGGGTTATGGCAAAGTTCAAATGAGATGGCAAATGTTAGGTTCCTCAGGAGCAGACTTGAACTAGCCATTATGACAGTGCTATTCTCATTTTACTGATGACGGTGATGACAACCACTTCTCCTCGTCCCTTCCCCAAAGCCATCAAACACATTGAGTGAGGTTCTATAATAGACGAGATAGGTAGGTAGTAAAGGCCTTGTACCCACAGAGATTATACTCCACCTGGAGGAATCAACTGCTGATAGGTGAAAAGGAAATTCAGGGAAGCAGTTTCTGAATGTCAAGTGAGCTTTTCAGGCAAAAGGTGCTGTCTATCATTCAGAGAGCTTACACTCTTATCTACTACTTGGTCACAGAATGAGACCTTTCACTGGGGTCTTGCAAACCTTCCAGGGTCTTAGGGACTATATAGACAGTTGCAAGTGTTACCTTGAGCACCATGTACTGTCGGCAGCAGAACCGCTTCTCATTGCCTAATAATGAAGCAGAAGGGAGGAAGGTCCTAAGAAGCAGCCTGTCTAATAGATGCCTTTGCTTATGGCAACAATCCTAAATTCTTTCCTGATTGAAGACTTCTCAGATAACCACTATCGTTAATATTCCCCTTATTCCTACCAGTAATGATAATAATAAATTCACCTACTTACAATTGATCACTTGACTGGGCATCAGTTAAATACTACACGGACATTAATTTAGATCACCTTTAATCACAGTCCTTAGAAGGAGAGATGATGGTCCCATTTCACAGATGAGAACAAAGGGGCATTATATGATTTGACTGGGGTCACTCACTAAGGGTTGGAGCTAGAATGCAAACCTGGGTTTTGCTGATTCCAAAGCCTGTGCTTTAACCACCACAGTATTGTATCAAAGACTGTGACCCAAGGGAGTCGACACAGTCTCCTTCAACCCCACCATCTCATGGCACTGGCTTTTATCAAATAGTGGACCAGACACATGAAGAGGTACTGACCACCCAGGCTGCAGAGGAACTCAACCAATGCTGCTTAAATTCAACCCTGGGTCTCTACCACTCCTTGCACTCTATTGTACACGCACACAATGCCACTTTGCCCTACAGGCGCACACCGCCACCTTGCACTCTATTCTACAGGTGCACATTGCCATCTTGCACTCTACCCCACAGGCGCACACCGCCACCTTGCACTCTACCCTACAGGCGCACACCGCCACCTTGCACTCTATTCTACAGG